GAATGAGGCTCTCTCCATCCCCTCAAACTGCCCTTCAGGTATTTGAAGGCACCACATATGACATTAGATCATGGGTCTGGGAGAACTGACCTATGACGAAAGGCTGCAAGAACTAGGGTTATCTAGTCTGGACAAGAGAAGACCGCGGAAAGATTTGATAACAGTCTGCAAATACCCACAGGTTGATTATAGAGAAGATGGAGATGGGCTTTTCTTTGTGGCCATAGGGGACAGGACTAGGAGCAGCGAGCCCAAGCTACAGCAGGGGAAACTGAAGTTGGAGATTAAGAGGCCCTTCCCGTAGGAGGGTGGTCAAGCATTGGAGTAGGTTGCCAGGAGAAACTCTGCAAATCTCCAGCCTTGGAAGTTTAAGAGCAGGTTGAGCACGTGTTTTGCTGGGGTGGTTTAGTCAGGGATAATCCTGGCTTGAGCTGAGGGCTGGACTAGGTGACTTGCGAGGTCCAGCTCTGCTTTCTTGTGCACCCTCCCTGCGCTCCAAAAAGCCTTTCAAGGCCTTGCAGCAGGAGCTTCTGGTGCTGCCACCTGCTCTGTGCACAAGTCGGCAGCTCCAGCCTCCAGGGCTGTCAGGCCAGTGTCTTTTCCCAGGAACCAAATAACCCTCACTTTGAGATGCCCAGATGAAGAGAAGTCCCCACTGAGTTTCGCAGTTAACAGGGGCACCAGGCTGCCCAGGGGCATCTGGACCTTTCCCAGATTAGTTAATAAATGGGCAAGTGATTTGGAATAGGACACAGACCAAAAGCTAATCTAGTTGGTAGTGAATCTGCACACGAGTCAGAACTAGTCCGGGCCCTGTAGCACTTGAAACGGAGAGCTCCAGCTCACTGAACTCATAGCCTCTCGCCGGGTTTCTGAACCACAGGCTCAGGATGACATCTGGCTGGTTACCAATCCTCCCCCATTTTCCTCATGCTAAATTACATTAATAGCTACCAAAAGGGTATACAATTTCCTAACCCTAATTTTCCACATAAGCAATTGTTGTATCCATTACACGGCCATTCTACCAGTCACAAGAGGGAGAGTTTTTCAACTACGAAAGGGAAGGGGGTACATAACACTCTTCCATTAAGGCATGATCCTCCTTAGAAAGCCAGAAGTCTTGAGTTATGCAATTTGACACAACTGACAGCAAATAACACTGTAGGGAAAAAAAAAAAAAAAAAGAGAGGAATTCAGACTCCAGGACTTGCCACCACTCATCATAACCAAGTTCTCCTTCATTTTAAAAATAGCTTAAAAACCACACTGCTTTTTCATAAGGGTCAACAGACCAGATACTCGTATAACAAAACAAAAATGAAGTCAGTGAGTTATGCCAGCAGAGAACAAGTTTTTATATGGGCGAAAAAATGCCTATAGCCCTGGAATATAGGAACTCCCATTAATTAGGCTGGTAATATCAAGAGAGGTGAGTACCAATTACTAAACAGAGGAAACAAGCACTCTCAAAGTCAGACTGCATGAAGTTATCAAAAAATATCAAAAGATGAATGAGCATCTTGGTTTGCAGAGAGGACTTTTGGTTAAAAGAGCATGCTGCAGTCAATGGGCTACTCAGCTTTGAAGTCCACTTTGGGGTAGGATTTTGAAAACTGGCCTTCAGAAGCCTTTTAAGAACACCAGCTGTGGAGAAAAATGAGTTTTGATCATTCTTAAATCCACCGCCTCCAGAAATACGCTGCAGTTATAATGGGTTCGAGATCTTGATCAACACAGGGTTTTTAAATGTGAAGAGCCTCAAAACTGGAACCGTTAAAAAACAAAAGAAATACAATTCAGAGATGACACTATTTCCAAATTCACAACTGGTCTTGGCATTCAAGTTTTCAGACTAGACTCGTCGCACCATGCAGCCACTCGTCACAAAGGGATGGCGCACTCTGAACTCATCAAGACAGATGTGCTTAAGAAAGGTCGTGGCTTGTGGAAGCTTTTCTTTTGCGGGGCAGGGGGAGATGCAGTTTCAGCACCTAAAACCATTCAAATTCCAGAGTTGTCAACTCTCACAAAAGAAGTCTTGAGATGGTGAGTGCGCGGGGAAAGGAAGAGAGGCACGCTGCAACTTCTTGAGCCAACCTGTACAGACGTATGGCTATTTGAAGAGTCCCTCTCTTTTCCTTTAAGTCACTGGGGGGCTGGGGTGGGAAATACAACACCATGGACACCCTCACACAAAGCTGGTCAGTAAAGGAGAAGATTTTGGTTTCAACTTTTCACAAAGTTTCTAAAAAGAAAAAGCTCTCTCTGAATTTGAATGAGTTGGCAACACAGAAGCCCTAAATCTGGTTCAGAAGACAAGAAGTTTTTCTTCCTTGCAATGAAAGATGCCTGCTGGGGCCGTTTCAACTCCCAGAAAGGCATATTTCCATAGGTGCCATCATCAGGCCTCACCTTGGATTTAAAGGAAAGAAAAATACAGGTTCCAGCTGAGCATGTTCGCAGAAAATCACAGGAATAGCACCTTGCTGGTAGTGCCCATCAACCAGGCAGAGAGTTTTAGAAGTGTAAGAGTCCTTTCAGTAACGTTTCTTATCATGTCAGTCAACCTGGTCTGAAAAATGTGAAAGAAGAATGGGGGACAGAAATGGCGACACACAGAACCATACCCCGCTCTTCCTGAATAACTTCCCCAGAACAGGGCATAATGGAAAGAAAAATCCTTTTGAGAATGGGCAGAATCTAAAACTGAATCTTCCACATCCCCACACCCTCCAACTATTTTGTCAAGCAAAAGAGGAAGATCTCTCAGTCTGGCTGCTCCCCCCCCAAAAAGGATCTATATATCAAGTAAACTCACATCTGTGAAACAAGTTAATCTTACAAGCGCCCCTATGTTTCAGGCATAAAATGTATGGTTTTTGGCCAAGACGTAGAGTTCTTCCTTAGTCAGTTGACTGAATATGACCAACTGATTTGCTAAGAGTTACATGGCCATTACTAACAGGAGAACAGCACAGGTTTCTGGAGAGAATTCATAGTGAATACTACAGGGAAATGAAAACACATGCCACTAGTAACACTGACACAATCAGGGCTTAGCATGGGAACAGTGTTTGAATTCACCTGCGCAGGCACATTTGCCCCCTCAAGATGACTTGTGCAGGAATCGAGGGGTAGTCTGCCATCTTGCACCTGACATTTCTTTACAGATTCCTGACCTTTTCTTTCACCCAAAGGTGCAGACAAGCATCTCTCCTGGGTGTCTGCAAGGCAGCTCCTGAAGGCAGGTGCTAGCAAGCAGCCTTCCCGATTCCAGAAGGGATGCAGAAATAATGACTTGAATCTGCGTTGGGTGGTGGAGCTCAGAGAGGCTTGTTGCCTCTGGGACAGGACACGAGCTGGTCTGCTTACCAGTCAGTCCAACTCAGCCCATCTGCCCAAAACAATGGTAGCAGCTTGTTACATGCAGTCACCCAGTGCATTGAGAGTGACAGCAAGCCAGGGGCCAGCTGCAAACACCCCTCCATGCCTCAGAACAGCAGCCACCTGCCAGGTGTACTGGGCCCAGGACTCCCGTGGTTGCTTAGACCTTGCAGTAGCTCCTATGAAATACAGCTCTGCTTCTACCTTTAGAAACATGAGCAAGTCTACTTCTTTCAGGCCTGCAACCTCATCCTGAAGTCACATATTACTCACTCTCTTCCCTACCTGCAACACCACTAAAGGGAAGTACCCTGCTCCCATGAGAGCCTGCAAAGAGAAGCCTCTACAAAGGGTGGGAAGAGCCAGGAGCTTTAGGCATTACCTAGGTCAGGTCTTCCACTGGGTGCAGAAGAGTAAGATAGCATTTCCTCACAGAGCACCATGCTGTCAACTGGCCACTGGTTGGGGGTGATCTAGGCAGAGCTATGCCCGTGCACCACTATTGGTATTTACCAGGTTTACAGCATGGGGCCAGGAAGGAAAAACTGCCCTCTTGCCCCAAGCTACATCGGGGGGCGGGGGGCACCAGGACATTAGTTCCTGTGGTTCCCTTGCTTTACTTGTGGCAGGTTCAGGTGTGATGTCTTGTGTTGCAGGGTTGACAGTGCCGTTTTACTAACAGGGTGGACAAAGCACCTCTGTGGGATGGTTTGGATAGGGATGATCCTGCCTTGGGTAGGGGTTTGGGCCCAATGACCTATGGAAACCCCTTCCAGCCACACTTCTCTATGATGCTATGAAGCCTGACCCCGCACGGCTAGTTGCGTAGCCTCACGTTCTTTGCAGTCCACAGCGTTCTCCCTTTTCCTCAAGTCCCTTGCTGCGATCTTGTGGTCAGAGCAGGAGACCAAGAGTGACAGTTGCCCCCTGCCCGCCATCCAGTTTCCAAGCCAATATAAACTGTTCACACAGCCAAGCACGCATCCCTCATGAGCACAATAGTCTGAAGACGTAAGAATGGCACTTACCCTCCCCTAAATCATTTCCTTGCGTTCAGGCGGTTAGATTCAGATAAACATCCCTGTGGTTCAGGTTCAGGCTCTGCTCTGCTCGAGTTTCCCCGGAGACTCTAATCAGTGAAGTCTCTCATTTTACCGACAGCCCGGAGTACAACATCCCCTCCGCCGCAGCAAGAGACCGGGCAGGAATGGTGCCATTTGGACTTAGAGACCTGGTCCCTTTGACTGCCCAAAAACTGCTATTGTCAGCTTGGTTCTTAAAATCTCCCTTTCCCATGGAAAGACATCATCACAGGCATGCAGCACAGCAAGACGCGATCCAGTGCTTGTCGCCATATCAAGGACATGGATTACAGCCAATATGGAGCAGCTCCTCTTCAAGGGCTACCCATTTCTGGAGAGCTGAGTCCAGGAACTTACCAGTGGGTTAGAAGTTTACAACCCAAGTTCAGCTGCTTCTCCATCAAACAAGCCAAAAAAGAGTCACCACAACATGCAGGCTTTGAAGCAGACCTTTCTGGGTCCTCTCCCCTACCAGCTCCCCCGGCATGCTGACTTCTAACAGAGCAAGAGTGCACACAGCAAGCAATTTACCTGCAACATCCTTTTTTGGAGTATCAGACAAACTGGACATCCAAACTTCAAAGTCCAGGAAGAAGGCAGCAGGAAAATAAAGAAGCGTTAGAAAAACAAGCAAGCAGTTTCAATGTGTTCATGATAACAGTTACTGTTTACAATCTCTACCCCTTTTTAAAAATCCACCCCATCAAGTCACCTTCTCCTATGATGCACAGTCAAGGCCCGAGAAGTTGTACCAGCTCAACGAGGATTTATCTATTAGTTAAAATCGCAGTTTATAAAATTTCTTGCGAGCCAGTGCTGGTCAGATGAATAGCTCTTCACGAAGTCCAAAATCTCACATGCAAAATCCCAGTCATTCCAAATAATGAGATTCAAGGCACAATTATACCCAAGGAAAATCCCAGTCGAGTTGCATGGGAAAGTTTTGACCCATTAGGTCGCAGTCCTGCAAACAATTATACATGATTGTAACTTCACTGTTATAAGTAAGGTACTGAGGCCAACAGAACCACTTGCAGCATGAGCTCAGGACATGAATAAGCACTTTCAGGATCACTTCCTTGGATTTTTGTTACCTCGGGACAGAATTAAGGGAGAAAGCAATCTCAAGCTGTGAACAGAAGTTACATTCCTTAGGAAGTGAATAAATGACAGAAAGCCAGTAGATGGGCAAAAAAAGGGTATAACTGCCTTACAAAAAGTTACGAGATTTATGCCCCATTACAGAGGGAAGAAAGGTTTTTTCTAGGATGGTGGGGGCAGTAACTGCATTTTTAAAAAGGTGCATATCTGGTTTGAAAACATGGAAAGTATATGTTTAACATCAGCAAGTTTATTCCTGGACTAGGCATTTGCTGTCCATGAAAATCGGGTTAAACAAGAACTAGGGTCTCAGACGCGCAGCTCCCCGGGAAGAGGGACCCACACCAAAAACCAAACCCCTTACTCCCACCAACTTAACGCGGCTTCCAATATGTCCAGGATGCCACACACCAAAGTGGAACACCAGGTGATATTTTAATAGACGGGACTGCTAAAAGCATATACATTTATATATGATATATTATTTGTTACTTCTGTTTGACAGCCAGCAAGACATGGTCTAACCACTTGAAGGAGCCATAAGCTAAGTGCATTAGGGGGACTGATCTGTTCAACTGGTGGTTATTGTTTAGATCCACAGGATAAATATATTTGCCTTTTCTTTCATGAGACACACAAACGGCTCCTCGTCTGTGCCAGCAATTCCTTTGTTATAGACCATGGTGCATAAGCAGAGGCTTTCAAGTGTTTTCCAACTGAAAGAATGAGGTTAAAAAAAAATCCAGCCAAATACACTGCATTTCCCCAGTAAGGATCTCCAAAATTTCCTCCGCAACACTTTTGCAAAGGGTCTATTTTTCCATTTGGCCAGGATAGAGCCAAGGCACATGGGGCATTTTTACATGGATTGTGGGGCACGGCATTGGGCGCTTTAATTAGCGAGCCACACTAATTAAAAAGCGCCTGTGCATCATGTGTATTAGTGTTGCTGTGCATCCCTATGCTGGGAGGCAGGGGGGGAATGGTGGTGGGACGCTTTGACCGAAAGCTCATTTAACGTGTTTTATTTCAAAGTGTCCCACTGCCATTTTTTCAGCATGGAGACACCGTTGCATGTGATGCAGAAGGCTGCCGAAGAGTGTCAATTTTCACGTTTCAGCAAGCTCAATTAAAATTGAGTCTACTCTGACACACTAGATTTCCAACACATCAGAGCAGGCTTCACGTATGCGTACAGGAGCCCAGAGAGCTTCAGCTGCTTGCTGAGGATCGGCAAGTTCTCAGCGACACCCTTCTCTGCCCCCAAATCAACTGCCAAACTCACTTCTCCAGTATCTACCCTTCATGGCAGAATATAAAGCTCATTAGAGGGACAGGAAAGCAAAACCGGTGCCGTTCTTGGGTCCGAACTTGACCCAGATGCTGCATGTGGTGCACAAAACACCCAGGATGTGATGGCACACAGCCAGTCTAGCACCTGCACTGCCTCCTGCAGCCACCCCAGGGTGAGCACCTTGTGCAGCACGAGTCCTGGACCAGCTGCAGCAAGCACTGCATATGCTGGATCTGGCAAGTGAAGGTGGCAGAAAGGGAGGTTCGTGGATGCAGGGTGGTTTGGAGCCAGCCACGCACCATTCATCTAGACTGCAAGGCAAGTTAACTGTGGGTTACCTTTTTTGATCAGGGTATACCAACACCAAATTGATTGCATCTGGTTGTTTTAGATTACTAGTTTTTGCATATGCTCCCAGCAACACCATTAAAAAGCCAGTAGACAAGGTTCTTCCCATGACAACATTCAGGTTACTCCCAAGGAGAGGGTTATTATTCTGTTGTCTAAATATCTAAAGCAGAAATTCTATTAAATCCAGAGACTTGAGGAGGGAGGAGGATTGCAATCAGAGCTTGCTCCATGCCAAGCTGGCACCGAAGGACTGAAACAGCCAAGGATGAAAAATATTTGGAATAAAGCTCTCGTTAGACAGTTCCTTATGGCTCTATTGGATCCATCTGCTCAAGCAGGGAGAAAGCATTTAATGGAAGTCACTTGGTAGTGCTGATTTCAGCAGTGCGAGTTGGGACGTAACCAAGGATCTCAAACAAATATATGAGTCCAGTTTGCTAGTACCATGTGCTCATGTAAAAAAAACCATATATTTCTTAACGAAACAATTTTTCCTCCTGTCACCAGCAGCTGATCCGAGCTTATGTGCAAAAGGAAATTTGAGAAGCAGCTGGCAAGTAACACCAGCGGGTATCTTGGATTCCCAACCAAGAGAGAAAAGCATGAAGGAGGACCAGCAATTCTCATCCGACAGAGCTCAGCAGCAGTTGGACACAGATGAGTGTGCAGCCGAAGACGACAGCTAGCCTAGCTCAGCTGCTCCAGCACAGGACATCTGCTTAGCATTAGACTTCCTTCTTGGGGGAGATTTTTTTTATTATTATTTTTAGTCCAGGACATTTAAGCTCTAATTGCTCCCAGCTTCTGAAGTCTCCCCCAACAAATAATAATAAAAATATCAGAGCCCGTGGTGATGTCCGCTGCTTCACAAAGGGTTCACTAAGAGTGTTGGAGAGGGCGGGAGGGAAGGAGGTCAGGAGGCCCCTGAAGCACGCTCCAACTGTGCTAGCAACACACAAAAGCTTTAAAACAAATAGCGCAGGATTTCCCTGTAGGACAGCGTTTTACTGGAGCTCTGCACGGGGCTTGGAGTCGGTTTCCAGTGGGGGCTGCTAATGGTTAAAGACCCCTATGAACTTGCACCCCCTTCCTGCCTCTCCACCTCCCCCTCTTACAGTGCCGAAAGCCAGTTGGGCTCCAACGTCCTCTGGAAAGAACCACTGTTTGGGAGGGAAATTCAAGTTGCGTGCCGATGCCACTCCTAATATAGCCTGGGCCCAATCCTACTCCCCACCCCCATTCAAATCCTTACAAATCAGCAGGAAGAGATTGCAGCTGGGATCAGAGCAGGCCCCTTCGATAAATCTTATGTAAAACCACCGCATAAGAGAGTCCAGAAATGAATCGGAAACAAAAACACTGCGATGCGGAGCAGCTCTCGAGGAGCAGGAGAGGGGCTTTCCCCTTCAGGGCTGCATTGTACAGAAGAAGCCATGTAACGGGAGAGGCCCATCTCTGCTGGAAACAGCTGCTGACCTCCTGCCCGATTCAAGTTGGCGCCACAGTCTACGGATGCACCAGCTCTGCTTTCACAGGTGGAGAGTGTCAGTGCAGGGGGAGGAGGGAAGAAAGAAGGAGGAAACAGGCTTTAAAAACCTGAAGCAGATAATTTATTTAAGAAGTTCACCAGAGAAAGCTTTCTGATGCCACCAAGACTGGTTTCTCCAGAGCTTCTCCCCCTGCTGATTCCAGGACAGGGTGCCACTGGAGCGTGGAGCTTGCAATAAAGCCACTTGTCTCAATGCCAACTGTTCATACCATCTTGCTGTGCATTGAAGAAATGTAATGCAACCGTCACATACATTGTTTGCAAGCTTCCTAGAAGTGCCAGGGAAGTCTGGAGATCTGGAGAGGAGCCTGACCGCAAGTGTCCAGAGCCAGACCTGAACTCTGTTCAAGGGGCATTGGTGGCAGGTCCGTGCTAGGGGTGCATCTACACATTCAGTAACGTGCATTAAATTTAGTACTTGCATAACCAAGTCAATCCATGAGCAGTAACTGGTGCTACTCTGCAGTAGCACCAACACATGGGTTTGGGGTTTTTTTTTTTTTTCCAGACACTAACTGCACAGTAGCATATTAGCACGGGATTTGCCCAGCATGCTGCTATGCAGCGCTATTAGGCTACTGTGCAGTTAGCACCTCGTGTTGATGCACCCAGTGACTAGTGAACATGTAGGCAAGCACACTGCACTGCCCTTTATGGAACAAGCCATTACAGGAACTCTCCTAAAGCCACAGCCTTTAAAAATGATCAAGTCCACTACAAAAAAAAAAAAAATCAACTAGAGCTTCCCAAAGACATCAGTCTCACGCATAATCTTCCAGGTGGCCTGCGCAGGATCCCAGCTCAGAGATGCAACTGCTGCTGCCTCCTGCCTTCCAGGGGACAAGACTAGGGCTGAGAGGGCAGCAGGCCCACGGCTCCGAAGAGGGGCGTCAAGTGATTGTTTCCTGAGAGATGGAGAATGGGCATCAGGAGACCATGGGCGAGGTTAAAAGATGGGGTGATCTCAGGGTGTGCTCTGGAAGTCAGTCTGCTGGAGGACCACACACAAGGCAACAGGTGCGAGATGGAGAACTCCACTCCACTCCTCTTCCTGAGGAAAATGAGCTGTCCTTGTGGGTGCTGTTCTCAGCATTCTCTCCAATGCTCCCACTGTTTCCTGGGTAGCTTTCCAAGCAGTATTTAAAGAAAAATAAAACCTTAAGGTCAACCCTTTAATTTAAAAGGCTCCGCATAATGTAAAAGAGGATTATTCTCTTAATTCTGGGGCAACAAAAGAAGGCCCCCGTAAGGCAGCAGACATTAGAAGTTGTTGTATACGTG